TTCCTATTAGTAAACATTTTTAAACGTGGAATAATCTTTATCTTGTCACTACATTGCAAATCATCACATTTGCCCAACCTGTGGGTGGTACAGAGTCTCCTTGCTTCTGCCTTTCCACTTAGACTATGACCACATACTTTACTGTACTGCCTTGTAGTTAGCTCTGCTCATGGGATTACATTTGCTACAAGGGAAAATGAATACAAGTGTCGTGTGCCACTTCTATAGCCATACAGACCTCTGCATCTATCCACACACTTGCCCTTTCCAGTTGACTGGGATGTTGGTAATCCAGAGTTTCTTTGAAAGCCATATGTGGATGACAATAATTTTTAGACTCACCCTATGAATTAGCTCAGGAAAGACAACTGCTCTATTTCCTTGAACATACACAAGTAAGAAGTAGATTCTGTGTGTACTAGTTACTGTAGCTTGACCTCATCTAGTGAAGTCAAGGTGTACTGTGTTTTTAAGGGGAATATAATTTCATTTGGTCTATAGTATGTGGACAGTTGTGGTGGATGTTAGTATTTACCTTTCTTTGGCCTATTTTTTGCCTTCTTTGTGTGTGTGTGCCTGTCTCTGTGTGTCTGTTTGTATATGAATACATGTGAGTATGTGCTTTGCATATTTCATAGTTTACAATTTATAACATTTTTATTATGTGCTAATGTTAATGAAGGTAAAAAAGACAAGTTTACCTCTGTAGAAAGGATTATTAGAAAATACAGATGCTCAAAATATTTTTGGAAAGATCAGACTATTCTTAGGAATATGAGCCATTCCTTTGAATGTTGGAGTCAGCTCCAGTCTTCCTGCTCACATCAGTGAACAACAGCTGTCCATCACCGGACTTACCCGTTTCCTGTTAACCTCCAAGGCAACAACGACTGTTCAATTTCTGATTTTTCTGTAAGCCAATCTTATCTCCTTAATTCACCATTCATAGCTAATTCATGTATGGCTGTGTGGGTGTGCATGTGTGTTTGTGTGTGTCCTGATTCTTCCTACATTTCACATAGGAGTCATACAGACATATCTTCAATATAAGAGTTTTTTACTTTTACTTAAATAAATAAATAAATAAATAATGATTTTTAAAATGTTTCTTTCAGTTCTACAAACCAGTTTCTTCTTCATCAAAATGAAGAAAGTACTCAGAAATCAAGACTTCATTTACACTCCCAGTATCCTCAGGAGGAAGTCAAATGACAGAAAATCCATTCTTCAAAGAAAAAAAGTTGTCTAGACTGTGTATGTGACAGTGTAAACTAGAGTGATTCTGAATAGACTGACCCTTCTGCCACAGAGATAAAACCTGGATCACCCGAACCTTCTCTTTACCCTCAGACTACCTGAGCCCTTGGAAAGACAAAAATCTTCCCTCATTCAGCCACTTCTCTCTCTCTTCTTCACTCCTACACCACAAACTACAAATCCTTTCTTCTCCCTCATTTCAAAGACAAGTCCTCATTCCCTCCTTAGAGAATATACTAACATGTACCTCTTGACATCTTTGCAGGTTGAGGTGAGAGTCTGCTTTCTAGATGTTTTCTCTTCTGTTTATGGTTCATGATTTCACTCTCTGGAGAATCGCTGAAATCAGGTAAATTTCTCTCTGATATATCTCTCACAGTGTTAGTCAAGGATGATAAAGAATGAAATTTGTGTAGCCAAACCAAAAAGTACCACGAGAAGCTATGTGTTGACCAGATCACTGTGTGGAGCAGTGATCAGTTGGGCACCACAGTTGATGTTGATATCAGTTATCACTAAGGCCTGGGCAGTGTTCTGTGACCCCTCCCTCGATGACATCACTAGAGTTCCAGGACCCAGGAAGTAGTCGCAGCACTGCAGGATTGCTAATATCCTTTGCCTATGTAGATGGACGCCTTTTATCTAGTGGAAATTTCTGTCACTGACCTCAATCTCCATATCTTGGCCTTCATATCCAAACTGTAGATAGACAATATTGATTAAACAAGGAAATCCTTTTATGTGCCTGGGGATATTTCATTAATCAATGTCCCCAGTGGTGAGGATATGGCAGTAGCAGAGAGGATTAGGCTTAGCACTATGCTTGTCTCATAGAAAATAGTAAATTTATACCGAAATAGTATTCTTTAAATTAGGTAGATACACATGTGAGGTGCGTACTATAATATAGGTGTAGATGTGAGAGTGTCTCATAAATCCACACAATTCTAGTAATGATGGGATCTCTCATGTGCCTGCACAAGCACACCCATCGCTTTTGACACTCTTCTTCATTACTTCCTATGGAGTGGGACAGACAAAGCCCTTGGCTTTACAAACAAGAGTGGGTCTTTGTCACCAATTCTGTTCTTGTCACTGCTGACAGTCTCACTCTTCATGACTTTGTGCCAGCCCCCAATTTGTCTTGGAAACATTCCTGTTCTCTACACTGAACTCTGAAACAGCTTTATTTTGCCTCCCATTGTTTATAGAATATATCCCATCTTTTAGGGACAATCTTGTGTTTACTCTCAACCTTAGTGCTTACCATTGACCCAGGACATGGCTTAGCCGCCGTCAGTCTCTTTTACCCCACAGGCCCTGCCTCTGGATGTTCTCTATTTCCGTGGGCATTGAATTACTGGCACATGTATCAAGAATCTCTTGGCTTTTTTATGCTGTAAAAAAGTAAAGCAAATACAAAAATTACACATTATCTTGATTATCAAATTGGAAAATATTAGAGGATCAAGCTCTACCAAAAGATTATAAGGATATGGGAAAAAGGATGAATCTTCACAAAACAGGTAAAACTCTTGAAGTCATAGGCATAGTCAAAGATTTTCTAAACAGAATTCCAATTGCACAAGAAATAACAGCAAAAACCAACAAATGGGATCATAGCAAATTAAAAAGTTTCTGCACACCAAAGGATACATCCAAAAGAGTGAAGCGACAACTTACAGAAAAAAAAAATTGCCAGCTGTGCCTCAGACAGAGGACTAATATCTAGACTATATAGGGGCTGAGGATTTAGCTCAGTGGTTCTGATGCCTTCCTCACAAGCGCAAGATCCCGAGTTCGATCCCCGGTACAAAAAAAAATCTAGAATATATAAAGAAGTCAAAAAATTAGACACTCCCCCAAATAAAGGCCCATCAAAAAATGGGCATCTGAGGCTGGGGATTTAGCTCAGTGGTTTCATCACCTGCTCCGCAAGCACAAGGACCCGAGTTCGATCCCCGGTACCAAAAAAAAAAAAAGGGCATCTGAAATGACACTTCTTCTCCAAAGAAGTACAAATGGCCAATAAATACATGAAAAATGGCCAGCTTCACCCTTCATTAGAGAAATGTAAATTAAAACAACAGAGACACCACTTTACTCCAGAAATAATGCCTATCATCATCAAGAAATCAAATAATAACAAATGCTGGCAAGGCTGCAGGGTAAAAGAACACTTCTACATTGTTAGTTGGAATGTAAACTAGTACTACCACTATGAAAATCAGTATGGAGATTCCTCAGAACTACAAATAGAAACTTGACCCAGTTTTTTCCCAGTTTTTTCTAAGTATCTTCCTGAAAGAGATAAAGCCTTCGTATTACAGTGATCTATACATATCCATGTTTTATAGAGACACAATTCACAATAGCTAATCTTGGAAGTAACTGTATCTCCACCAACCAATGCATGGATAAAGAAAATGTAGTTTTTGGGGGTCTTTTATTTTTTTCTGGTTCCAATGATCGAACTCAGGACCTCATGCTTGCCAGGAAGGCGCTGAGAAAATGTAGTATTTATACACAGTGCAGTACTGCTCTACCATAAAGGATACCCTTGAGTCTTTTGTAGGAAAATGGATGCACCTTTAGACCATAATGTTAAAGTGAAATAAAGTGGACACAGAAGCTTAAATATCACAGGATTTCTCTTCTGTAAGAAATTAAAAATATAAATGAATTGAATAGCAAAATAAAAGACAGATAATAGGAAACAAGAGATCTTTTGCAAATGGGAAAGGGACCAAGAGGTAGAGGGGGTAAGAAGACAGGAAAAGGGAAGAAGGGGATGAAAAAGAATCAAGATGTATTATGTGCATGTCCCAACTCTCCATGGTGAATGTAATCATTTTGTACCACACACATGTACTAACAAAAATAAAAATTTAAAAAGAAAGTGGCAAAAGTGGTAGGATATGCGTGTTTGAAGTGAGAGGAAGTATTCTGAGGGAGACTAATGTGTATTTTATTGTAATACATTTTAAAAATTAAATATTAAGCATATATTTTGATCACCCTTATATTTATAAGGGTACCACATTAATGATACAAGGAGTGTTTAGTGGAAAAAAAGAATAGTCAAGGACTGATAGAGCACTTGTTCAATGGCAGAGCACTTGTTTGATATGCATAAGTACTAGGTTTGATATCCAGCACCAAAAAATTAAAGAATATTCAAAACCCAAAGAAGACTCATAAAAAAATTTTAATGATACAAAAACTAGTATCTTTCAAAATCTGAAAGTTAATTTTCATAATTTTCCTCAAAATTTGAAAATATATAAAGCAAAAATTAAGTTAGTGGAAGATATTATGAAGTAAGAAAATAGAGGGCAGGACATTTAGCTCAGTGGTTCCACCACCTGCCTCGCAAGCACAAGGTCCCGAGTTCGATCCCTGGTACCAAAAAAAGAAAAAAAAAAGGAAAATTTTCTGTATGTGCAGACTCTGAATTTCTAGACCAAAGAAGGCCCACCAACTGCCAAGCACATTTGATAAAAATAGATCTACCTCAACACAAATAATTAAGAAATTCCACAACAGTGAGTGTGAAAAGTATTTCAAAGGCATCTAGGAAGAAAACCATAACAGGTTTTGGGCAAAAAAAAGGAAATTTGCATAACTCAAAGCACCTTAAACAATCTACATGGATTCTAGAAGATAATGAAAAATACCTTCAAAATCTAAGAAAAAAGTTATTTCCAGTCTTCAATGTTATACTTGTCTTACTCCAAGTGAAAGAAAAGACAAAAGAAAAACTTGTTCAGTAATGTAAATTCATCAATGATTATCTTCAGGGAGTTACCAAATAATATGGTCAGACTAAACAAGTAAATAATCCAATACAACAATTCCACACCAGAAGTGATGTAAAGAGAATGCCCATGACGACAACGGAAAGCCCAGAGTTACTACTATGGTGTTATTTAACTAGCAACCAGTCCTGATGGAAGCAATGGAAAGACAGGCTTCAGACAAGATGTCATCAAAGTTACAAGAAATTAATAGATGATCTAAGGAGTTTAAATATCTTCATAGGGTATACTCTTCTGGAAGAAAATGTGTACGTGATCCACAGAAAACTATGCAAAGAGCAGCAGTGGAGAGTCAATTCCACAGAAAATTTAAAAAGTGAATTAGAAAGTAGGTAATTCAGTCAAGGCACATTGTATTGCTCAACTGTGGGTAATGTTTATACAATCACATAAACTATTGAATATCGTGCCAGTTCCTCTTAATTGTCAAGCTTACTATATTAGAAGACTCCTGGGAAGGCAATTGGATCATGGGGCACTTTCTCATCAGTAAGTAGATTATCTACCAGTGTTCATAGCTGGATGTGCTTTTAGGAGGCTGGGCTTAGCTGGATGAGATGGGTCACTGGGGAGGGTATTCTCTCCCTAGCACTCTTCCACTCTGTTCTGCTTTCTGTTTGCATGAAGTGAGCAACACTGCTCTGCCATGAGCTTCTCTCTATAATTATGCTTCTGCTTTGAACTAGTTGACCACAGACTGAAACATGAGCCAAATAAGCCATTTCCTCCTTTTTTTTTTGGTACCAGGGATCAAACTCAGAACCTTCCACTTTCGAGGCAGCCAGTGGAACCACTGAGCTAAATCCCTGGTCCCCATTTCCTCCTTTAAGTTGCAGGTGTAAGGTATCTAGCAACAGGAAAGCTAATCAATACAAATATTGATGTAATAAAGTAAGACATTGGAAGGATGGGGATGTATGAGACAAAATATGCATATATCACTATGGAAATAAATAGGAAAATAAGACAAAATAACGTATTAGAAAAGTTAAGGATGGGTATATAAGCATATTACTAAAACTTTTGAATACATTTACCTCAAAAGAATAGGAGCTTGGCATAAAGAGGTGCAGCACAGAGACTTTTTAATACTTCTATACAAGAGATTCTATACAGGTCTGCAGAGCTTTCCACATTGTCATGCTCATAGTTAAAAACTGGTATTTAAAATGAGGAGTACCACTGTGGAAGTCAGTATGGAGATACCTCAAAGAACTAGGGCTAGAGGTCCCATTTGACCCAGCTATTCCCCTGCTGAGGATCTTCCTCAAAGAATTAAAAGAATCATACCACAGCGATGTATGTGCATCCATGTTTATAGCGGCACAGTTCGTACTAGCTAAAGCTTGGAAACAGCCCAAGTGCCCATCAACTGGAAACTGGATAAAGAAGATGTGGGTTTTTTTATAAAATGGAGTAGTACTCGCCATAAATAACGAGAAACTAGAGACATTTATAGCTAAATGGATGCACATTGAGGCCATACTCTTAAGTGAAATAAATAGGACACACGTAAATATCGAATAGTTTCTCTGGTGCGAGAAACAGAAAGTGTAAATAATGATTAAAATGAGTAACTGATAATTTGAAATAGGAAAAGGTCCAAAGGTGTAGGGGTGGTGGGAGGGGAAGGGGAAAGGGAAGAAGGGAAAGGAAAAATTATGAGAAAAGGAAAAAAATGAAAATGAAATCTATGAAAATAGGGAAGGGTGGAGGGGAGGAAGGGCACACAGTAATGGGGAAAAAAAATAAGAACTAAGATACATCATGTACAGGTACAAGCACCCAATGATAAATGTAAATGTATTGTATACCTAAAATGTACCAATAAAAGAATTTTTAAAAAGTAATTAAAATAAAATGAGTAACATGACTATCACACATATATACTGGTATACTGATATAAATAAAATAAAGATTTGTCAAAAATAAACTCCAAATATATCACAGATGTGGGTCCTCTGACCATTAGGTACCAAAATGGAATTATCCATGAAAGAGACCTATTGAGTAAATACTTATGAAGAATAAATAGTAGAGGCAGGGGTAAGCCAGAAATACCTTCAGGCAGTAATATGAGTCTGAGATGTGTGAAGAGAAAAAATGCAGGACTGTGTGGTTAAAGCCTCAGACTGCAGAGTAGTAGGTAGCCCAAGACCAACAGGAACCCATCAGAGTTCAACATGACACAGACATGGCCAGGCTGTAGGAGTTCCGTGCATCCAGTCAGATGTTGCAACAGCCTGGGAAGAGTGGTGGTGGCAGGAATGCTGTCAGATCCAAAAGTGCTGCAGAAGGAGGAGGCCAGCCAACCACTTTCCTGAGAACATGTGCCACTGAAGGAAGAGAAGACTTGGCCATACCCATGGCTGGCACACTAAAAATATGAACAATGGAAAAGCTTAGTTTCTCAATCGTATGTTCCAATTCTCATTTTAGAGATAATAGAGATTTAAGGTACACTTGAAGTATCAAGTCTCGTTTTAGAAACTACAGATTCTCTGGTTTATAAAGGTCTTCATTTTACAGAAAAAATTTATGATTCCTCATAATGGTATTTTTATATCCACAAAATGTTCTTAATTCAAAATAAACTTAGCACGGATATATATATATATATATATATAATGTTTAAGTAATATCTGTATACATATAATCTTATTTAATATTATTCTACCAAATAATATAAAATATTATGGTATGCTAAGGTACAATAATAAAATATTTTGTGTTATTATCTTGGAAGCCATGAGTAATAGTAAACAGTCGTGAACTAGTTAAATTTAAAATTCTGTTTTCTATAATTTAAAAATGCTACTGAATTATCTCATTTACTCCCGATTCTAGACTATCATGAGTAATATTTTATCACTGTTTATTTAAAAAGAATATTGTAGGGTACAACATGGGAGATTATATATCACAGGATTCTGTTGCAGGAAGAAATCAACCAACCCAGGCAGAGAATAACAGATTCCTTCAAAAAGAACCCATCAAAGAGAACATTATACTCAAGAGATGCATTTGCAAGGCAAAAGTGAAAAAGAAAAAAAATATAAAAGAAAAAATAACATGTACAAGAACACATTGCAAAATAACATGGAATATCTAGAAAATCCTTAAGATGACCTATAGGGTAAGGTAGGATGTAGAGCTTATTTTGGAATTTACTACTGAATTTTGAGTTCAATATTTTCAGAAAATACATTGACTTTTTGACAGCTAATTGAGACATAATTCACAATTTTTTATTTAGGCAAAATCTCTCTGAAACTGGTGATGGGGACACTAGCAAGCTTCTCTTTGAGTGTCACACAGTCCAGAAGGTGAGCACTCACTGAAGAGCAGAAACGCCAGTGTGAGGTCCATTTGTCTCTTGACATGGAGCCTTATGAGCCAGGTGAAGGCAATCAGCCCCGTATTCTCAGAACTCGTGCATATCCACCTCATGAGCTGAGCACGTGATGACCAGACAAAAGGAGCCTGCAGCTCCCATCCCCATGCCTGAGACTTAGCCTCAGCTCAAGTACCTGGGAGCAGAATGAAGAATACTGACATCCTGCTCCTCCCCCAAAAGAAAGCCCTGTGACTGGGAACTGGGCGAGCCTTGTATTCTTGGACGGAGTAGTTTGGAGTGGAGTCTTCATCTTCCTGATCTGAAAGGGACAGGGAGAAGAAGCTTTTTTTTTCAATCACAGACTCTTGCCATTGTTACCAAATTCTCATAGGTCTTCTTGTATGGAAATTTCTTCATTTGCTCTTTGCCCTCAGTACCATTTCAATGGGTGTTTGTTATTTCACCATTGTTATTTCCCAAGTTTCACTGGAACCCAGGTCTGCAGAGCTTTCCACACTGTCATCCAAGTAGTTAAAAGCTGTTTGTTATTTAAAATGAGTAGTAATATGACTATATATATATTATGCATAGTTATAATCACACATATATTACAAGGATTTTTTTTTTTTTTTTGGTGCCAGGGATCGAACTCAGGTCCTTGTGCTTCAAGGCAGGCGGCGGAACCACTGAGCTAAATCCCTGGCCCAAAGAGGATTATTTTTAAATTTAACAAGGTCTGTTCCATTATTAACTGGAGATACAATAGTGAACAACACAGGTGAATTTCTTGCTCTTTTGGAATACATACTCTAAAATAAGGGAAGAAGTCAAATAAGCAAAGAATAAAGATCAGGTAGTTGTATATACTATGAATACAATTAAAACATGATGATGGACATAACGTGAGAGAGACAGTGAGTTCATCTTTAGGAAGGTGGTGACGGAGGAGCTTTTGATGAAGGGATACTTGGGTACAGACCAAAAGAGTGTGATAAGGCTAGTCAAGTGCTTATCTGTGGGAAGAATGTGCCAGGCTGGAGGGACACTAAATGCAAAGTCTCTAAGTCAGGAGTGTGCTTGGCATGTACAAGAAATTGCCAAGAGGCCAAAAAGGCTGAAATGTAGACGGGGAAAATATGAGGAAGTCAGTTCAGAAAAGCAGCAGGGAAAGAGTACACCCATACTTACAAGCCTTGCTGAGGATTTAGTGACATGGAAAAACCACTGAAAATTCAAAGCAGAGAGCGGTATGATCTGAGGTATGTTCTAGGAAGAGAATTTTCTGGATACTTTTAGGAGAATAGATCACAGTGAGTCAAGCATCAAAATAGAAGAGTTAAAGGACTATTTCAACATATTAGATCACAGATAGATAACAGTGGGTTGGCTATCAGTGAGAAGATAGTGAGAAAAGGCTGACAACGGGTACATTTAAAAAGTTGGCCCTGTATGATGCAGTCGCGCATTTGATACAGCACAAGAAAAAGTATTTTAACTGATAAACTGGAAAAATAGAGTTGTCATTTAATAAGCTAGAAAAGTTCGAAAGAGGAGCATGTGAAGTATATAGAAAGAGAGTTTAGTGTTTTATCCATTAAGGTAATGAGGATGCCCTAAAGTCACATACAAAAACTAGGTTCACAAGAAGCAAAAACAGATATACAAAACAATTTAGAAATTTAGCAGAGTAAAAGTAAAACTGTACGGGCATTGAGTATAGTGAGTGATGATATAATGAGAAAGAGAAGCAATATAATAGTGAGGAATCTAGGACGATTTTGCTTTCTGACTTGGGCTTCTCTTTGGAAAATAATGCCATTTATCAAAATAGGAATCACAGAATGAGGTATGTCCTTTAAAAATTTGTTATGATTGAATTTCAAAAAAGCTTACTTTAATTGAATATTACTTTTGAGTATATTACTGACTTTGAGAGATTAAGCATGACTCTGTTACAGCTACATTAGTCTGACTCCTTGGAACAAAAAATGTATACCAAGAATTCTCACAGTCATCGATGAGAGATTAACCAGATTCTGTCAGACTACTGATGAATCTTCCAAATATTCTCTTTTGCCTATTAGTTTTCTATATCAGGCAAGGATATTCATAACTGGGCCAGGGAGTTAGCTCAGTAGTTCCAGCGCCTGCTTTGCAGGTGCAAAGGACCTGAGTTTAATCCCTGGTACCAAAAAAAAAAAAAAAAAAAGAATGTTCAGAGGTACAATCAAGCCAGTTATCCTCTGGAATACTTAAAAGATTTCCCCAAATGAGCAGTACAAAGATTTTTTCTTTTTCCTTTCTTTTTTCTTTTCTTTTCTTGGTACCAGGGATCAAACTCGGGACACCTTGCACTTGCGAGGCAGGCAGTGGCACCACTGAGCTAAATCCCCGGCCCAGTACAAAGATTTTTTTAAAAAATAATATTTGATCCGAATTTTTTGGACCTGAGATTGAAGTTAAAAACCTTAAAATCATCCAAAGAAATGTGGTCTGTTTTCTGTTTCTAATAACACAATACTATACACTGGATAAATAATAACTAAAAGAAGTTCATTTGGGCTCACCATTCTGGTCCAAAGTCAAGGGACTGCATCTTGTGATAGCTTCTTGCTGGCAAAGTCCTAAGGCAACACAAGACTTAATCACGAGACAAGGAGTGTGCATGTGTATCTCCTCTGGTCTCTTCCTATCTTCTTATAAAACCACAAGTATTTGATTGTAGAGCCCCATTCTAATTAACTTATCCAACTAACCTAATCACTTCCCAAAGGCCCCACTTTTGAACACAGCAGTCATATTAAATTTCTGCCCTCTTAATATTTCACAATGGGATTTAAGCTCCAACATGAATTTCAGGAAGAATAAACTATATTCAAATCCAAGGAGGGAAAATTGATTTCCAAAAACATATCATAATTAATTTAAACATGACCCTTGAAAAAAGCACTTTTGCTTTTCTACTTCAGAGTATTACCTGTCATGGTCTGACTCCTAAAATTTTTCTTGGACACCATTAGACATCACTTTCTTCTGTGAAATATTTTACAGGAATCCAATGCTAGTCTGTATATTTGTGGTTCCTGATACCTTGCTAAAAAGATGTTATTTGATCAGATTAGCTTGCAAAGTAATGTATTTGGAGATTCTTCATGCTTTGACTTTTAAAGTGAAATTAAATTGCTTTTTATAACCCTCAAATAAATGAGATATATTTTATTAGTTATCAAGCAATAGATGAAATAGTGAACTCTACTTGTGATTCTCAGTGGAGGGATCGTTACATATTTCATGAATCAAACTTAGGTGTCATCTGTGCTTAGTACTGGTCATATTCTTCATTTATAAAAATTGTCTTTGATGCTCAGATTTTGCTTCTCCCTTGTAATCTGTTTTATGTTACTCATTTTCATTCTCCCTTTATCCTCTTTTTCTCCCATCTAGCATTTATTCTATTTTTGCTATACATGGGTATCTGGTAATACTGCTCTAAGTTCCTAGAAAACAAAGATAAATAAAATATATTTATCATCTCTGCCATCAAAGATTTGTAATATACTAAACATAAATAAAAGATAATCATTAATCAGTAGAAAAATGCCCAAGAGTAAGACAGTGAGGGAAAATAAGATTTCTAATGGAAAATAAGATTTCTAATGAAACTGAAATTTAAGCTGAGTATTAAAACATAAAGGCCAATATATGTAGACCATAAAAGAAATGTACTTAGGGAAATATCCCTGGAGCATAGGGAGTGCTACAGGAAATGTCTGGGTGTGTCTTTGGAAATTTAAATGGAATTAGACCATAAAAGCCATGCATGTCATGACATGGAGTTTGGATTCATTACTAAGAAAGGGCAGTGTTAATAGATATTATAATGCTACCCACACAAACTCAGCTGAGAGGTTCCCTGAATGTGGAATGGCAGGGAAAATAGCTCTACGAAGGGAAAGGGAAAATTACTATATTCATGTGGGATCCCACTCTTGTCCAACATCTTTCACTTCTCCCCTCAGCTCAAACCACTGGCCTTTGCTAGCCTGGAAGACTCCTTGAGCACATTAAAAAAGGCATTCTCTTGGAGCACTCTCAGCCCCGTGCCATGACTTATAGATGAAGGGAGACAACCTCAGCCCTTACCCAGCCAGAGACCTTTGTGGTCAGCAGCCTGAGACCATCTCACAGCTCAGTGTATCTCCCTCCTATTGGTAGGATGAGCAGGGTTTGTGTTTTGGGGGGTTTTTTGTTTTTTTGTTTTGGTACCAGGGATCGAACTCGGGTCCTTGCACTTGCGCAGCAGGCAGCGAAACCACTGAGCTAAAGCCCCGGCCCGGTAGGATGAGCAGAGTTTTTATTTTAAGTTTTTGTTGTTTCGGGACAAGGTCTTGATAATTGCCCACACCAGGCTCGAGCTTGCAGTCTTTCTGCCTTAGCCTCCTGGGAGTGCCAGATGGGTGATTTAAAAATTAAAGGATATAGTATTAATAATTATGCTGGCACATCCAGCACAAATGGAGTCTTCCCCCAAAGTGGAATATATTGTTCCCCTAACACATTTGAAGGGACGCTGGCAAGAAGGCTCAAGCCCTGCCTGCCCCTGATCAGCTGGTCCATGGAAACCTCAGCCAGGTGGTGGGTGTGGACCCCAACACTCTTTTTCTTTGCCTTGCCCTCTGTCTCCTGTTTTCTTCCCCACTGCTTATTTTGGCTTGGGCAAATCAACAAGTTCGTTGTGCAAGCAGACATACAAGAAAATGAGTTACCTTGCTCCAGACAACCCCAGTTTTTACAGATTTCTCTCTTGAGGCCCCTTCACTGAGCTTCAAGTGGGACTAATGAACCCACTGGGCTGCCCACTCCGTCCTTTACCTCTGTATAAAGATTGTATGGTCCTAGCTGCTAATGGGTTAGTTGAGCACACAAAGTCATTAACAAAAATTTAGCCCAGGACTCAGGAACTAGCCATCATGTATAGAGCAAGATGGAATATCCCGATCTAAGTCCTTTATTCAGGAAGGTATAGAATAGCAGTGGAGCTTATTATTACTGTAAAAGTAGAAAAGAATACTGAATAAAGTCAGGAAGTCTTGGGCCAGGGATTTAGCTCAGTGGTTCCACCACCTGCCTTGCAAGCCCAAGGTCCAGAGTTCAATCCCTGGTACCAAAAAAAAGTCAGGAAGTCTCTAAAACACTGACTGGCACATGAGAAGACAGTTCAGACTAAACCTTCAGTTGGGGAAGAAAACATAATGGTGAGATATAAATCACAAAATAATTAGTACATTTCACATATAAAGACAAAATTAATATAAGAAAGTTGGATATGCTTATTAGATATGTCTGATCCTCAGTTCTTTGTTTTCCCCCTTTGTCCTTAAGTGATCCTTTGGAAAATCATCTACCTCCTTTTGTAGTTGTGCACTGTGAGTTCATCACTATTGCTTGCTACAGAACTGATCAGCTCAAATAAATCAATGAACCCATTTCCCTAGCCCCAAGGGTTGGTTAAGATAGAGGTTAGCAAACTTTATAAAGGGCCAATAATTACTGTTACAGGTTTTGTGGGTCATACAACCCCTGTCACAAAACACAACTCTATTCTAGTGTGAAAATAGCTATAGACAATATATAAGCAAATTAGTCTGCCTGTGTTCCAACAAAATATTTTTATTAACACTAAACTTTGAAATTCACATAATTTTCATGTGTCTCAAAATAATTCTTTTGATTTTTTTCAATTATTTAATAAATATAAAATCTTAAGCTTTCAGGCCATATAAAAACAAGTAGTAGATCAAGTGCAGCCCACCTGTTCTGCTGACTCCTGGATTAAGAGATATGCTCCTAACCTAAGCTAAACCAATAAAAATGGGCCCCGGGCTCTTGACTCAAGATATGAGGACACCAACAATCTCTTCTCACAGCCATATTGCTCTAAGAAAAATAACCAGTCTTATTATTAAACTTTTAAAATGGAAGACCAGAAATTTAGAAAGAAACATGATCTATGGTAGCAGTAGCAAACCTATGGCATGCGGGCCACAGTGGGCTGTTTGTACCATTGAAAGCTCTAAAAGGTTCACCACTAGTGGTCTATGGTCACCACTGGATCAAGTTTTTTCCTGAAGCTAACTGTACTGTTTGAAGCTTTGGTTGTGTGAGCTAAGTTCCCCTTATCATTTATGACAGATTGGGTCAAGTTTTTCTAATATTGAAAACATTTTTTACTAATACAAACCACAGTGTTGTAAGTAACAGACCTCAAAAAGTAGAGCTGACTGAGTGCAGGATCTGAGGTTGAAGACACCTCTAATTAGCAGAACAGTTGGTTATCCCTATGGCCTGCCACATATGTGTGTGTGTGTGTGTGTGTGTGTGTGTGTTTTGTACCAGGGATCGAACTCAGGACCTTGTGCTTAAGAGGCAGGCATCAGCACCACTGAGCTAAATCCCTAACCCTAGCCTGCTATATATTTTAAGGCCATCTGCCTTCCAAGGTCTCACCAAAAAGAAAACTTCAAGATATCCAAGACCCATTGTTTCTTGCATAAGTCAGTAAGGCTAACTAAAAAAGAGATTTACTTTTAAACTAATTTTCCTGATAGCAGAGAAGGAAAGATAATAATTTTTGTAAGAAAGACCCTTTCTGCTTATTGCCCACAAACCCAGCTGGTTGAGAATCTGAAGCTTACACGCCTAGAAAAGCACCACTCCAAACCAACGTTAGTATAAACAGAAATACAAAGGGAAGAGATTAGGCAGGACACAAACGTTGGGTCTAGAATCAGTCTGATCTCCTTCTCAGATCCCTCCTAGCTATCTTGTTGATAAATAAATGTATTAGGGTTCTACAGAGAAACAAAACAGGTGCCTCTCTCTTTTTCTCTCTCTTCTCTCTTCATGCCTTTGATATAGATACATAGATATGTACTGGCATACATAAGATATAGATATGTAGATAAATAGATATATTAGGTACTGGCTGACACACTTATGGAGGCCTGCAGCAAGCTGGAGAACCAGAAAAGTCAGTGGTATAATTCAGTCCAAAGTCTGACTCCAAAGACTTGAGAACCAGGGGAGCTGACTGTAAGTCCCAGTCCAAGTTCAAAGGCCTTAGAATGGAAGCAGGAGATGATGGCCCAAGTCCCTGTCTAAGCCCAAAGGCCCAAGGACCAGCAAGGCCGATGTCCAGTGTCAGAAGAAGATGAAATGTCTCAACTCAAACCAAGAGGATGAATTCCTCTGCCTCTGCCTCTTTGTTCTCCTTGAGCCCTCAATGGATTGAATGATGGCTACCAGCATTGGTGAGAGAAGATCTTTAACCCAGTCTTTTGATTTAAATGTTGATGTCTTCTGGAAAGACCTCACAGACCCACCCAGAGATGATATTTTACCAGCTACCTACACAATGCTTAGCCCAATCAAGTTGACACATGAATTCGACCATCACAGTGAAGACCTGTGTTCTCGGTGAAGGTAGCTGGGATGCATCAGAGGCAAGAAGCCAATTGCAGAGGCTCCATGGCTGCAGCATTGTTCCACCAGCAGAGGGCAATGTAGTGATACAAGTCAATAATGTGGAACCGTGTGTAGGGTAGGACTCCCAGCTCCACACTGGACAAAGACGGGTTTCAAACTCCATTCTAGATGTGACGTTGTGTCTGACAGATTTTCAGCCCCTAATGAACTATCTTGAGGAATTAATCAAAAACAACTGTATTGGAAGCCTTCAAAAATCAGGAGTGACATTGTCTCTGAAAGGCTGTAGAAAAACAGCCTATGATTGTACATCAACGGTGGTTTGAACTTGGTTTCCATTAACATCACCTGGGGAGTTTTTAAATTACTCTATGTCAGGTCTCACCCAAATCCAACTAAATTTGTAACTTTGGAGGTGAAGCCTTGGTACTGGAGCTTACAAACTCCCTGAGGGATTCTACTGTGAGTTCAAGGTTGAGTAAGCACTGCTCTACACTTTAACTAATCCTTAGGTACCATTTAACACAAGAAATAGACACCTTTGTAAGAAGTATTCTCTCTGCAGAAGGTTGCCAGATACAATACAGGATGCCCAGTTGAATTTAAGTTTCAAATTAGTAACAATTTTTTTAAGTATATATCAAATATTACACAAGACATAGTCTTTTAAAAATTATTATTATCATCATTATTATTATTCACTTGGCAGTACTGAGGATTGAGCTCGTTCCCTTAAACATGCTAGGAAAGCACCCTACCAGTAAGCTACATCCCCAGCCTTTTTTATTTTGAGACAGGGTCTTGCTAAGTTGCCCAAGCTAGCTTCAAACTTGTGGTCCTCCTGCCTCAGCCTCCTGAGTAGCTGGGATTACAGACATGTATCACCACATCTGCCTTTCTATATTTGTTTGCTAACTCTGGTCACTGGAGCCTCCAAGCCTCACCCCAGAGATGGATGTAAATTTATTCCCCTCAAAAGCAGACCAGTGAACAACAGAGAATCTGACTGAGGTTCTCAGCTGACTTCCAAGTCGCAAGTCTTGGCTAGTCTACTAGCAGAGCTTGCTAAGACTCTTGCTAACATAAGCAAGCACTTAACACAGAACCCAGCATTTGATAAAGCCCTCAACAAATGTTAGCCATCATTCTTAGGAAAACTTTATGAAAAACAATTTATGTGCATAAAAATGCATCATCTTGTAATTTAAGTAGAAAATTTTATTGACCATATCTATTGTGATCTGGTTGTAAAATGATGAGTGTCAGTTTCCATGTTCCAGGAAAGCATCTCCAGGGAACATCCGGTTATGACTGCAGTAGTACTCTTTCCCATTCTTGTGGTTCCTGTCTCTTTTCATATTCCCCTACCCTTCTTCCAGTATTCCTCTCAACTGTAAATTCTTAGTTTGGAAAACAAAAATCAAAGGACTCAATGCAAAGAAAATGCTGGTTTACTGTTTATATAAGTGGCTTTTCATATTTTAAAAGCAGTGCTGGGAAAAATTATTCAATAAGCATTTGTTGTGTGATACAAGATACAATTTTTCTGTAGATGTTTAATTACACTCATTGAGTCACATATAGAAGAATTCAAAAAGCGCTGCAAAGAAAGGGGAAAGATGGTGATGAGGATATCATGTCAGAGGAAACAGTCACTGAATAACACAATTTAAAAATGGCAATAAATTACAAAAATGAAATGAGATACATAAACTTAAAATGAATGTTAAGGAGGACCCCAGAATGTGGCTGGGGTGACGATGGGACGCACAGAAGAAGTGGCCTCCAGAACTGCAGGGTCACCACCCTGGCTCAGGTGTTTGCTCCCAAATCAGCCCACAGGTCCAAGGCCTCCTTGCCACCTCCAGGCCACTCAGGAGTTCAGCTCCAGGTCGGTGATGTATTTCTGGACCCAGGTATTTCTGGGGTCAGTACAGACCTCCCGGCCTCTCTTGGTTTGGAAGCTGTGGAGGAAGGGAAAGGAGGCAACACTGAGGCCTCCAGTCAGGGAATCCTGGGACCTCCGCATCCTTCTCTGCCCAGACATCCCAGGGCCTGTCCACATGCTCATAAATTGCCCCCCTAACCTTGAGGTTCGCAGATTCCCCAAGTGTCTCCCCCAGAAAGCCAGCTTCCTGCTGCCCCTCCCCTCTCTTCCCACCTCCCAGGGGAAGGTCTTTCTGGACTCCCTGCAGGCCCCAGGTCAGGTCAGAAAACACCCCGGGGTCTCCCCTGGACTCCTGCCCTCACCGACCTAAGGGAGCTGAGGACCCTGGGGGGGTCTCCCTTCAGCCCACTCTCCCTCCTCAGGGGTGAACACAGAGACCAGCCCTTACATGACAGCTGGCTTGGGGCACTGGCTGCTCGTCTCATAATAGTCCACCACAAAATTGCGTGGGATCTTCTGGGAGATAAAGAAGCAGCAGGCAGTCGGGGTGTCAGCACCCACTACGACAGACAAGACAGGAAGAGCTCAAGTGATTGTTGAGGGAAAAAAGGCTTGGAAGGCAACCAAGGCTACACAGCAGGCCAGGGAGCCAACTGGATCCAGATTCTACTTCTTACGAAATCCCACATGGGCCTCCATTTTCTCATCCATGAAATGAGACTCTCTCTCCCTCTCTGTCTCCCAGAACTGAACAGAATTGCTAAACCCCTTAGGAAGGAAAATTCTCTGGAAACTAATCTCAAAATCCTTCTGGAGCTCCCTGTATGAAGATCTTAGCCACAGACTTCACACTGTGGTCCAAGCCAGGCCCAGAAAGGGGGGAATCCAAGAGCAAAAGACAGACTCACATGAGGCAGAGCAGGTCTGAGAGAAAAGGGTCTCAGTGAGGATCAGGACAGTGAGGGCAGCCACTGGGCCTCCATGTCACTGGGCAGCAGAGGATGAGTGAATTCAAGTGGTGGCCAAGTAGAGCTGGGACCTGAGGACATATAGCTGATTCCTCCTTCTGGGGTCTAAGACATCTCTTTATAGGCAGCCTTGGGACATCAGAAGATGAAAGTTTGAGGGGGGGGGGCTTTAACGATGGTGTTGGTGTTGCACTGTGCAACAAATAAACCAGGAGAGCTCTGGGTCACCACAAGGGCTCAGGCTATTTGGAAGAATGGGTCCTCTGCTTACTTGATGGGGAAATGGTTTCCACAGTGCAAGGAGGTGAGATGCTGGTGTCACCCTGAGACTAAGTTAACTGCTGCCTTCTCACCAAAGCAAACCTGAAGACAAAGCATTTCTCCCACAGAGCTGAGGCCCTGCTAGCTTCTCCAGCTAATCCAACAGCATGGATGTGCTGGTGATAATGCCACTGAGTCATGGAAGCATGACCCAAGATAAAGGCACGCCCTGGGTGGAAACAGCAATGTGAGGGAAGCTTCAGCGACAGGAGAGGCAAATATGAGGGTGGCTTGTAATTCAAATTTTTTTACATTATTTATAATGTGAACTATAAATTATTCCCCAGAATAAACACTAATCTTTTAAATATGCAAAAAGCAAACAAAAATAGAAACTGATTTAGTATATGGAAGCTGGGGTAAGCAGCAGGGCAAATGCAGGTAAGAACATGTGAATTTTTCTCTACATTCTTGCCTTCCCATTGTGGCATATATGAATTCTGAGATATAATCTGAGGAAATTTCCCTTGAAGGCAGGAAAAATTCTATTACCCAAACCTAACCACATTCAAAATTCCTATTTCTTTATTTCAAGTGCATTTTTCTTTTTTTTTCTTTTCTTTTTTATTAGTATATGTTTCCAATATATAGTAACTATAATTATCTTGGGGATACACAGTACATAAAGAGATGACATCTTAATCATTTTTACTTCCTCTTCTCCTCATTTCCCTCCATCCTCAGATCCCCTTCCATCTCCACAAAGTCTACATCTCAGTTTCCTATCATTTAACTTTTATTGTACTCTTAAATTATTTATACTTTGGGTTTCTCAAAACCAACGAGAAAGTGCGTGGTATTTAACCTGTGTCTAATTTATTTCGCTTAGCATTATGGTCTCAAGGTACATCCATTTTCCTACAAATGACTCAATTTATCCTTCTTAATAACTCCATTGTGTATATATACCACATTTTCCTTATTCATTTACCTGTTGATGGACCTATAGACTGATTTCAAGATTTAGCTATTATGAGTTGTGTGGCTATAAACTAATGTAACCACTGTGGAAATAAGTGTGGAGATTCCTCAAAAAAACCCTAAAAATAGAAATTCTATTTGACCCAGCTATAACCTCTTCTGGCTGTCTTTCCAAAATAATTAAAGATATCATATTACAGTGATACATGCATGCTCATGTTTATTGAATTTTTTTTAGGCTTACCATGGTTCTATTTGCTTATTTGTTTTTTTTACTGCTTACTGTGTGTCAGAGGAAGGGGGCACATTATTGTGGTCCAGATAAAGACAGAACTTGGTATGTTTCTTATCTGTATATAACATTAAAGACTCTTCCAAGTTATCCCAGTATTTTTTTTTTTTGGTACCGGGGATCGAACTTGGGTCCTTGCACTTGCGAGGCAGGCGGTGGAAACACTGAGCTAAATCCCCAGCCCCTCCCAGTACTTTTTTAAGAGTTGCCTAATTTACTCAACCGTCAGCTTTGTACATTAATGTTATTGTGCATATTTGGACTGGTTTCAATTTTTAATCATTATGAGAAAGCTGTATCAAATGTTTTATACAAAAAAACCCAACTTCTTCCATAAAGAAGCTTATTTTCATAGGACATTTTCCTAGCCATGGGCTTCCTGGGTCAAAACATAAGGACACTCAGAGCTCCTGATCCATACAGGTCCCATACTCAATACACATTCATGTCTACAACCTGGTGTTGAGCCTGACAAATGGAACATGGTAAGGATCTGTGACTGTCTGATGAATCAAGCCATGATTAAAAATCTGACCTCACCGTTCTTGTTATGCCTGTAGCCCAGACACTAATTCTTAACTTCCTACCACTGGTTAATGTTTTTTCTTAGAAATACTAATCTACATAATGTCACAGTCTTTTTTCACCCAAAGTGCGGCTGACGTGTGACTTGTGCTGCCCGGGACAATGTGACAGTACCATGTATGTCACTGAGTGTGGGCCAAGAAGCAGCAGCAGAGCATTGCTCTGTGGGAGGAAGTCTGAATCTATAGATTTTTCCACGCACTTTTGGCTTTCACACTAATATCTCACCTCCTCTCATTGGCAAAATGTTTCCACACAATTAGCCACCAAAAATGAGCAGTCAAGTTATTCTTGTACATGCTGAACCTTGTGAAACTCAACATACCCCAGAATGTATAACTCAGAGCATAACATTGTGCACTGAGTCTCTCTGGTCATCTCCAGCCTCCACTCCAATCCTTCACAGTTGCCTATTAAAGGACAGGGACATGACCTGAGCCACAGAAGAATGTCAGCCCTTATAACCACACAAGCCAGTTTCCTAACTTATTAGTCAGTGATCACCAAAGAAATCTGATTAATACAATGGTTTTTCCAATAAAAAATGCTAGGTAGGTCCATCACATATTGATATAACAAAAAAAAAGTCTTGGGCCAAGGATTTAGCTCAGTGGTTCTGTGCTTGCCTGGCAAGAGCAAGATCCTGAGTTCGATCCCTGGTACAAAAAAAAAATCTTGAATCCTTCTTCACATCAAATATAAAAATCAGCTAGATGGATTTTAAATTTAAGTATCAATGCTGAAGCAATAAAGCCTCCAGAAGTTAACAGAGAAAGGTATCTTTATTACCTTAGGATAGAAAAAGATTTCTCATTGGAGTACAAAACCCCTAATCCTATACATAAGTATATCAATATATTTAACTATATTAAAGTTAAGAACAATTGTGGTTTTTTGAGACAAGGTCTCTCTATGTGCCATGGTGCATGCCTATAGTCTCAGCTACTCAGGTGGCCAAGACAAGAGGACCACTTGAGCTCAGGAGTTTGAGTCACCCTAGGCAACATACAGGGACACACACACACACACACACACACACACACACACACAGTGGAAAGCCCATCAAAGTACACTGCTTTATCAAAGGAGGCTGTGACCACTGCCTTCAGAGAAATATCTATCACGGGAAGAAGAAACAGCATAACCACAGGCAACTTTGGGTTGTGCAACTTACATGACACCACTCTACTTAAAGTTTCTTGCTAATGCTCCTGCAATTTCTATGTCCTCATGGTCCGGGGCTGTATATAAAAGGAAGGAGATAGCTCAGATCCTAGGAGGCTAGCAATAGTGATAGCAAAGCCCCAGCTCAGCTCTGCTCACACTCCTCTGCCTGTCCAGCATCATGAAGCCCCTCATGACTGCCCTCTTGGTCCTCTTCTGCACAACAATGCTCTGCTCCTGTGAAGAAGGTAAGTCTGTTGTCCCATTTCCTTTAACTGTTGCTCCCTAACCGAAAGTCAAAATACATCGGCCCAAGAGCCACCACAATAAACAACCAAGTGTTGAATTGGGTTTCAACATGACACAGCTGTTTCCATCGAAAGGATTCAAATGGAGTCTATCGTTAGGGCCAGCAGAATGGAAGTTGGGGGAAGTTTTATACTAATTTTTAGATGAGAACATGGAAGTCTAATTTATTGGGCCATTACCAGGAGGTAGAATCTAGGTCTGTGTACTTAGTTCCCATTGGTGCTGGTAAGTTTTAGAAGTGCCTCAATAGTAGTCCCTAAGAATGCAACCTCTTGGGTAACTTAGACGAGATGTTCCTACTTTTCTCAGCTATCTTATGATTTACGAGATTGGGAAAAGAAATTTCCCTGAAATAGAGTTGGGAGAAGGGAATAGATTATCTAGAGAGCTTCATTTCATATAGAGTAAGATAAGGGCCAAAATAGACAAAAACCAAAGTCAAGACTAAGGAAATTAATAAGCAACAAAAAGCTAAATTATTTCTAATTGTGTTCCCCCACACCTCAACTCTGAGCTATGCTGTCTCCTCACCTTTCCCTGGCCCTCTCCAGCTTGCCTGTTTTGGGCAACTCCTGTGGTCCTTGTTCCCTCACTCAGATAAGCGTCACACCGCACCTGACTGCTGCTTCTCCTTCATCTCCCGTCAGATCCCCCACAATCTTGTGGTAGCCTATTTTAAGACCAGTGGCACATGCCTTACAGATGGTATCATGTAAGTACCAGTTCTTTTCCTTACCCCTAGGGAGACACAGATTTGGCGGGGGGGATCCTGGGAGAGTCGATGTGTAAGCAGTTCACAGGTCCACCAGCTAGTGGATAAGAATCCCTTTTCAAGTCTGTTGCGCATACAGAACACAGAGGAGGCTGCAGGGCTATTCCTGACATTGGCCAGAGCCTGCAGGGAGCCAGGGAGGACCTTCCCAGAAGTAGAGGGAAGAGAGGAGAGAATGAGACAGCAGAAAGGAAGAGGCTTGAGCGGATCTCCACAAATCATCCAGGGAAGGCCTGGGAGACCTGCTATTTGGGGGGATGATTTCTTGACAAAATGGATTCCTCTTGAGCTGCCCCTAGGGATGAAATAGGAGGGGTCACAGATGATAAAGATGTCCTCACTCCTTGTCGTATGTATACTTCTGCCCCCTTCATAGCTTTCTCACCAAAAAAGGCCTGTATATCTGTGCCGATTCCAGCAATGACTGGGTCCAGGAATACATCAGGGACCTGGAGGCAAATTCTTGAATGGTCCAGCAGGAACGAGGGAGAGGTGTTTGAAGATGGAGAACCAGGAGACTGTCCCTGCAACCCCATGAGTTATCTCTCCTGTGGGTCCCTCCCCACTCCACTAACCACACTCTGAACCCTTTAACTTTAATTTAGTTAACCAACTTAAATTTTATATCATGTTACTCACCTGATGTTTCCTCTGAGAAGTCAAATGACACCCTCTTATTCCTAGTCCCCTTCCTAGTCATTCATACAGTGGTTGACTGATAGTTATGATGAAAGGCTGTGCTCCTCTCTCTGGATATTCATTTGACCAAATCCATCAACAGATGCTTACTGAGTTTTTAGGAGCCCTTTACTTGGTTCAAACCAATGTCAGAATAATAAAAATTATTTTTATATTCTGAAATAAATCTTGGGCTTCTGACTATTCTTTTTTGTTTTACTGAGAAATCATGTTCATTGATGAGGGAGAATGATAGGCCTCCAAGTAGGAAAGGAAAGCAAGAGAATGAGCATTATTTGGGGCACACTAGGCTTACCGCTAGTGACACATTCCTCATAGAATGAAAAAGAAGCAAAGTATTAAAAACAAATACAGAGGGCCGGGGATTTAGCTCAGTGGTTCCACCACCTGCCTCGCAAGCTAAGGACCTGAGTTCGAACCCCATACCAAAAAAACAAAAAACAAATACAGGGCCGGGGATTTAGCTCAGCGGTTTCACCTCCTGCTGCGCAAGTGCAAGGACCCGAGTTTGATCCCTAGTACCAAAAAAACCCCAAAAAACCCAAATACAAATGTATATATATAAAGGAAATCTATCAATTGAATAAACACCAAAACAAGGGATTTTATCATACATATGTATACATTTTCACAAATTAAACTTTCCTAAGAATAAAGACTAACAGACTAACAGTTTTGAAGACTTACTCTAAACCACGACCTACAGCCAAGGTTTCTGTGCACTGCCTAGTCTTCAGAATATCACTGTGTATTGTATATGCTCTGATTATCCCCATTTGACATATGAGGAAACAGTTAAAACCTTAAAAAGCTTGCCCCAGATCAGTCAGATGCTAAATTGGGATCAAATCTACACGCCAGAGCAAGTCCCACACTCTTAATTAATCACTAGGAAAGCGTCTCTCCACGTGCCCATGTTCCACATGAAACATTCAGCAGAAATGCAGTGCCCTGATTAAGAGAGAGCCTATGTACTCCAGGTAAGAACCATCCTTTGGGACAGGGCAACGGCAAGATGGCTCAGGTTCAGCACATGGCATACTTCACAGAAAATCTAATTTTCCTTGACAAGCCAGTCTGACAAAAACTCTCTACCCAGCCCCTGATCTCCAACTGCATTCTCAACTAATTCTGTGAAAATAAAAGACTCTCCGATGTCAGGTCAGAAAGAGGGAAGGAGGGGCCACCATGGCCCAGAAATCTCCCTACCAACTACATCCTTCTGCCCTTCTCCATCGCTTCCAAACTAAACTAAGAGGCTGGCTAGTCTCTGCCAGCCCTAGTGTTAACAGATGAGGAAACACAAGTTCCTAGAGTTTAACTTCCCCGTGGCTATGTAATTAGCAGTGTTGGGATTTAACCCTGGGTCCATGTTCCACGCTTTTATCCATCAGATCTTTGCCTGTCAAGCTGTCACTCCACCTGGAACAGATTTAAACTGCCTATTCCATGACCAGGGCATTTTGCCTCCAGCTAACCAGATCAGTTTTCTTGGCCCTTATTTGCTTTTATGAAAGTGGCAGAGCTACAGTTTTCTCTGTAAAAGAGAGGAGTGATTCTCTCCTCTCCTCTCTCTCCAATCTCATAGAGTATGGGATGTGGGAAGAGGTGTAGGGTTAGCCCTGTCATCTTCAGAGAGATCTGCTCTGGTCTTTTAAAAACAGGACGACAGCTTCTACAGCAGGATAAATCTCATTCAATGTGTTATTAAATAACAAATAAAGTTAAGGAAAACAGAGAGCAGTGAGACTGCTTAATGCTGGAAGGTAAAAGAGAATAATTATTCATCAAATTATTCCAGAACTTTGCAACACAGATAAGAAATCCACATCTAATTCCCCAACTTTAGAAAAGATATACATAAATTATATGAGTTAGCAGTCTTCATACATCAAGACCGAATGAAGAAATAACACAGATACCATGGTTTGAGTAAATGTCTTCTAAAAGCCCATGTGTCAAAGGCTTGGTCTCTGGCCAGGGGCACGAGTGGAGTGGTATAACCCCTGGGCGGTGAGGTCCAGTGGGAGGTCCTCACATGACCCGGACTGTGCCCTCAAAGGGAGTAGTGGGACTCTGGACATTTCTTATTCTTTTTTACACTTTCCAGCTATAAGGTGGATGGCTTCTCTTTGCCACATTGTAACTGCTATGCTGCCATACCACACCCATGTCCATAGCAGCACAATTTGTAATAGCTAAATCTTGGAAACAGCCTAGATGCCCATCCTCAGATGGATGGATAAAGAAGTGGCTTTTATATACAATGGAGTACTACTCTGCCATAAAGAAGGATAGACTTGAGACAATTTTATGTAAATGGATGCACCTTGAGACCATATTTTTAAGTGAAATAAATTGGACACACATGTTTAAATATTGCATTGTTTCTCTTGTGTGAGGAAAACAAAAGGGTAAATAAGGACCAAAATGTATAATAGATACTAAGAAATGAGAAGAAAATGTTCAAATAAAAAAGGGAACAAGGCGGGTAAAGGGAAGGAAGGGAAAAGGAAAAAAGAATAGAAGGAAAAATGGAAACAAAGCTTTTGTAAATAAGGAGGGGAAGAAGGGCTGAAGGGAGGGGAGGGGAATGGGGGAATAAAAGAAAAATCAAGATATATTATGTACAGGTACAAATTCCCTATGATGAATGTGATCATTGTGTATATCAAAAGTTTACTGATAAAATTAAACTTTTAAAAAATTGCTGTGCTGGGCTGGGGATTTAGCTCAGTGGGTCCGGCGCCTGCCTCGAAAGCTCAAGGTTCCGAGTTCGATCCCGGGTACCAAATAAATAAATAAATAAAATAAAATAAAATAAAAAATAAAAAATTGCTATGCTATGCGTCCTTACCACAAACCTGAAAGCAATGGAGCCAATCAATCATGGACTGAAACTTCCAACACTGTGATCCAAAATAATCCTTTTCTCTTTGTAAATTGATTATTTGTTAGAGATGGAATGCTAACACAACACATTGCAGACTTAAGTGTATCAACAACCATAATTTTGCTTCCAGATAAAATGAAAATTTGCCGTTTCCTATTATCTATCCTTACTACTATTAGAATTGAAAACAAATGTTGATCCAGAGGAGGTCTTGGTGGTACTGACCAAGACCAATTCAACAGGTAGGTAATCAGGGGTGCGGGGGTAGTGGGGTGCAAATGAAGAATGAAATTCATGCCAAGTCTCCAATATACAGACATGACCAGGGCTCCACCCACACCAGGACCTTTAAATTTACTCCCTCTGGAATTGCAATGTGTTATGTACATGTACCAATCCCCTATAGTGAATGCAATCATTATGTAACATAAACATGTACTAGAAAAATAAAATAAAATTTAAATATAAAATAAAAATTTTAAAAATAAAATAAATTTACTCCCCTTGCCTTCTCACCATCTGTCTCTTTTTTCCCCAAGACTTGTACAAAAATGTTTTTGTTAGCTGTACTCAAAATATTCCCAGGCAGGGCTGGGGATTTAGCTCAGTGGTGCTGTGTCTGCCTCCCAAGTGCAAGGTCCTGAGTTCAAACCCCAGTACCAAAAAAAAAAGTCCCAAACTTCATTCAAATTCAACCCCAATGTCTATCATGTCAGTTCTGATGATGTCAGTTCTGCTGTAACATGAGAAATGCAATTCTAAAAATCATCACATTATGCAAAATCACGGAACAAGACCCACAGGACTGATGAGGGAATGAGGTTGGTGCACCATACTCAAGCACTTCACCAGGGACGCTTTAAAAAATTATAGTCATAATGAAAACAGTGGCACCATTTTTATACACATTAAATAGCTAACATAAATACCACAATAAATATGGCACTTTTTAAAAGATCTAAATTTGCTATGAAAGTAGAAGTAAGAAGGGTTGAAATTTGTAAATTATCGTAAAGCAGTAAGGTCATCTGAAATCAGAAATTTGTAACTCTAGTTGTGCTGGGTGAAGCTAACAACACAAACACAGGCAGTAAACTGGGTAGCTCGTAGGTGTTTGAAGTACGTGTATGCGTGTGTGTGTGTGTGTGTGTGTTTGTATGCATTTTGAGAATTCTTATATGGTTAATGAAGGAAAAACAAAATTTTGTGTTCTGCTCTAATTGTTTCCTTATACAGCAATCATACTGGAATAAATTTGCATTTTCTAAATAAGCATTTTAACAGACTGAATATGCATACATACAATGGAATACTACTCAGTTACAAAAAGGAGCCAACTATGTACAACAATACTGATAAATCTCTAAGGCACAATGATAAGCAAATCAATCCTTAGTGAAAAAAGCTATATGCTTACGCCATTTACATAATATTATTTAAAAAGTGAAATTATCAAGACAGGAATTACATTAATGGTTGCCAAGAACTAAGGGTCGTGGAAGGTGATTAAAAAGGGGGCACAAATTATACACATAAAAACGACCAAATGTAACTGAATTACATCTTAATAAACCTGACTCCCTGTTCCTCCATACAAACAACATTGAAGGTTACCGATAGAAAAATAAAACAAAATGAATTAAAGAGTGACCCACTAATGAGATCTGATCATGGAGAAGATTCTTGAAACCTCTTTATGCTTCCAGCTTTCTGAACCACAGGACATCTTTTTAAATTTATAGTCCATTTAACATCTGAGTAACTGGTAATTTCTCTTTACAGTCTTGTTCTTGGGCCAGGGATTTGGCTCAGTGGTTCCGGTGCCTGCCTCGCAAGTGCAACGTCCAGAGTTTGATCCCCGGTACCAAAAAAACAAAAAACCTATAAAGTCTTGTTCTCAGCTTTCTGTATCTCAAGGAATTTCTTTGCTCCTTTGTTTTAACCACAGAAGGTTTTCTTAAGCTCTCCTACATCTGACATCAATGATTGAAAGCTCAGTGTCCCAGAATGGTTCCTTCTTTTCAACAGCCCAGAGTGTTTGGATGGATGTATCTCAGACTTTCTGCCAGTTAACCCTCAACTGTTTTTTATTTTTCACTTTAAGACAGGATCTTTCTAAGTTGCCAAATAGCCCAGGCTAACCTTGAACTTGTGATCCTCCTGTCTCAAACCTCCCAGAGTGTTGGGATTACAGACACACACCACAACACCTAACTCAGATTTTTCTTGCCAGTCTCATTAAGAGCATGCAGAGTTAGCAGGTAAAGGCTGGA